GGTGGGGGGGGGGGGGAGTACCAGCTTGTCCTTCACACCCTACAGAGGTCACAAGTTGCCCCCCACGAGTGGCTCTCTGGCACGGCCATGACTCCAGAGGCAAAAGGACTTAGTCCAGAGCCTGGCAGCTTACGGCAGAAAAGTAAATGGACCATGCGTTAAACTATAGTGCCATGCCTCCCTGGGAGGGAAAGGGTGTTGCTCCCTTCCGCCTTTTTCCGCCCTGGCAGCAAGTTGACCACTACCTCAGAGCTTATTGGAAAGCCAAGTATGAGCCGGCAGTGAAGGGGCAACTGTAGTCTCATGGGAAGGGGGACGGTACCGGCTCATCCTTCTCGCCCTACAGAGGTCACGAGTTGCCCCACACAAGCGGCTCTCCAGCACGGCCATAACACCAGACACACAGAAACCAATCTCGTAATTATCTGGCTCTTTGCAGAAATCCAAAACGTGACATTATATGATTCTCATGACCAGCTATAGAAAACAAAATATTTCACAATGCCTTTTCAGCAATTCTGATTGTTGGGGGGAAATTCTAAACAATAATGGTGCATCTTTTGTCGAAATAATGTAATCAATGTAGAGAAGAGTTAAGTAGAAATCATCTGCCTCACAGGCATTGGGAGGGGTGGGAGGGAGGTATACTGGGGTTCTTGGTGGTGAAAAATGAGTACTGGTGAAAGGAAAGGTGTTTGATCATTGTATGACCAAGACTTAAACCTGAAAGCTTAGTAACTTTTCCCAGGGTTATTCAATAAATAAATATAAGAAGAAAAAAATAAATAAAATTATGAAAAAAAAAGTAAGGTGGAGTTCATGCCCAATTCAATCAGCTAATCAGTGGCTGAACAAATAGCAGTACTCCTACATAAAAAAAAATGAACAGCTCTCAAGAGAAGTTTGGCATGAATTCAAGAGGAACAACATAAGAATCATCAGTCCCAGAGGGCCAGGAAGGCAACCCTGAAAGAACTCTACCCCTATTGATTGTGACCATCCTATGTGTAATTGTTACCCCAACCCCTCATGCTGGGGGATATAATGAGACTGTATGAGTGGGCTGGGCGAGGCAGAGGAGAGACACGAGTGAATGGAGAGAGGATTGGAATAAACTGAAACTAAGACCAACCAGCCTGGCCCTCATTCCTTCCTTCGCCTGCCCATCACCATCGACCTCCCTGAGGTGGGGGAACCGGAGTGAGACTACCGAACACGGGCAGCGGGAGAGATAGACCACTGCTGTCTTTTTGTGTTTACACACTCTCCGCCCCAAGCAGAGCCCCAGCAGCTGAAAACATCCAGAACCCAGCCTCACACATGAAGGAACCAGCAGAGGAACCCAGGTGTGCGGGACCCAGGGCTGAGATCTCCAAGCCTGCTTGGATCGGGACTGGGCCTCCTCCACCCAGATGCCCCATCTTCCAGTAGCTAGCAGTTACACCCACCAACTTCCCCCGGTTCCATGTAAACCCATCAATGGCCAAGATACAGAGACTATAAAACCAAGCTCCCAGAAGTGCATGGCCACATTTGTGGCCACACGACCTCTTATTGTCTAAGTCTCACTCTTGGAGAATCCAGCAAGCTACCAAGAGTATCCTACCTGCACGGCAGAGACTGGCAAGCTCCCATTGGCATATTGAATATGCCAAAACCCAGTAACAATGATGGTTTTCATTCCCCTGACCCTGAAAGAGCCTCCAATGTGGCACTTGCTAAAATCTCAGGGCTAAGACAAATGGAGACGTTATTGGTGCCTGCTCAAGAAAATTGATGAACAACGGGATGACAGTGACAGTGATACCTCTTGGAGGGCCCGGCGGGATACTCTCGTCCACCAGTAATGTCTCCATTCGTCCCAGACCTGAGATTTTAGCAGCCTCTCCTTACTTGTCTTTCCCATTGCTGCCATATTGGAGGCTCTTTTAGGGTCAAGGGAATGAGACCAGTTATTGTTACTGTTTTTGGCATATTGAATATGCCATGGGTAGCTTGCCAGCCTCTAATAAACTCACTATCTTATCCTGAGTTGACTCTCTCTCTCTGTTCATTCGCGGCTCACACCAGAACAACAGTAAGGGTTAAGAAAACCAAGAAAATTTAAATGGGAAAATATAAAATAGGACTATAAGAGTATAAAGTTTTTTATCCTGCGAAAGGGAACATTGATTTCGTATCAAAATATATAGGGGGCCGGAGCAACAGTACAGCAAGTAGGGCATATGCCCCTGATGTCACCACCCTAGATTCTATTTCCAGCACCCAGGTGGTCCCTCACACACTACCAGGAGTGATCCCTGAGCAAAGAGTCAGGAGTAAGCCCTGGACATTGCCAGGTAGTGGCCCCAAAGTAAAACAAACAAAAAAAACACAGAAAATATTATAGATACTGCTTAAGTGTCTGTATTAATAAAAGACTGTAATAAAAATCTTGGCAGAGTCTCCTGCCCCCACACCTGGCTGTCTTCACCGGGGCCCCTCGGTGGGGGTGGGGGGGGTGGAATGAATCTCCCTCCCCACCCTGGGCAGAGCCTGGGCAGCCAAAGACCTCTGGAACCCAGCCACAGCCATGATCAAGGCCTCTCTCCACACGCTCAAGGCCACTTTCCACATGCTTGGATAAGCCTCACGCATGAAGGAACCAGCAGAGGAACCCAGATGTGCAGGACCCCGGGCTGAGATCTCCAAGCCCGGGACTGAGCCTCCTCCACCCAGATTCCCCGTTTTCCAGTAAGTAGCTAGTCAGTCGCACCCACAAACTGCCCCCAGCGTGCCATGTAATCTCATCAATGACCAAGATCCAGACACTACAAAACAAAGCTCCCAGAAACGCGTAGCCTCCTATAGGCTAGTTTTCCCTCTCAGAGAACCCAGCAAGCTACCGAGAGTATTCTGCCCACACAGCAGAGCCTGGCAAGCTCCCCGTGGCATATTTGATATGCCAAAAACAGTAACAATAATGGGTCTCATTCCTCTGACCCTGAAAGAGCCTCCAATGCGGCACTGTTGGGAAGGACGAGTAAAGAGAGGCTGCTAAAAATCTCAGGGCTAGGACAAATGGAGACATTACTGGCACCTGCTCTAGCAAATCGATGGACACCAGGATGACAGTGATAAAAGTGAATAAAAATCTTAGGAGGTTAAAAAAAAACTCACCAGACATAGAAAAATCAATAAAAATGAGGCTTTAATTCATTTTTGCTATTTATCACAAGCAATACAAAAGAGAGTATAAGGGACATTGTCTGCCATAGAGGAAGGGGAAAGGGTGGGATGCGGGTGATACTGGGGACATAGGTGGTGGGAGATGTGCACTGGTGGAGGGTTGGGTGTTCGATCATTGTACAACTGAAAAAAATGAAAGCTTTGTAACTATCTCATGGTGATTCTATATATATATATACACATATATATGTATTTGTTGTCATACAAAAATTATACAAAGAGAAATTATTTTACATATGATCCTTCAGTGCATAAAATCTTTTTCTTTGCAAATAAGCAAATAATAATACCAAGAAAAGCACCTGAATCTTAAAAATATATAGCTTAAAACAGGTTTATATTATATCTATTTTACTACACACAAACAACATACAAATCCAAAATTCTTAACCATGAACCCTGACTTTTTCCTTTAACTTGTCACCATCCAGTTCATTCGCAGACATTTGCAGTGTTGCTGAAACAAGAACACTAGTAAGATGGTAGGATGTTTGCCTTACGTGTACTATCGAGGTTCAATCCACGGCACAGCACTGAATAAACATTTTTCTTTCTACCTGGCACATGGGTGTCTGTTCAAATAGTCCCCAACGAAACCTTATCTCAGTGTAGAGAGTGAAAAAAATCAATTTCTATCTAGCTTTCAGAGTTACCTAAGGAAATCCCTAAACAAATAATAGTAATCTACTGAGATGGATTAGTAAACTTAAATCATTTTAGTAGGGAAAGGAAAGAGGCAGTCTTCTTAAAGAACAGGGTTTTGTTGTTGTTGTTGTTGTTGTTGTTTTTTAAGAATGAGAGAAATAGGAGATATGAAATCTTGGCAATATTTTGGGCATGGTGTCCCCGTTAACTTTCCAAAAGCCAGGGAGTGTATATATGAAAACTTTTGGATAATGCATCTTTAGACAGAGAAAAAGAGCTTAAAGAAACCTTCCAGTTTTTGTTGTTTTCCACATACCAATAGCGCAATATACCCAAACAGTGTATTTTGGGGCGGCATGTACACTGGACACCTACAGTTCAAACTCTATGGTGGCTTATTCAGCACTTAGAATGTCAAGTCCAAAAGGAAATTAAAAGAAAGTAAAGTCTTTGGGCTGGAGCAATAACAGCGGTAGGGCGTTTGCCTTGCACATGGCCTACCCGGGTGGTCCCCTGAGCACTGTCAGGGGTAATTCCTGAGAGCAGAGCCAGGAGTAACCCCTGTGCATCGCCGGGTGTGACCCAAAAAAAGCAAAAAAAAAAAAAAAAAAAAAAAGGAAGGAAAGTCCTTGACTGTAGAGACTATTTCCAGCTCTGGGCAAACCTGGCCATAAATGATCAGTAAATACTGCTTAAAGGTACGATTACCTAGCCTATACACACATACTGGGATAGACCTTAAATTTCAAAAGAAAAAAAATCTCCAAAAATAAAGAAGAAACCCTCCAGATTTGAATTCTGCGGTGCAGACGCTAAGTAGGAAGCACTAACGCGCGCAGAAGGAGGAAGGTCCTGCAGAGATGAGCGCGCCGGCTCCAGGGCGGTGGGCCCGGTGGGCACGGGCCGGCCGGTGCCCATGGTGGAGGGACTGGTGGGCACTGCTCGGCCGCTGCCCAGGCCGTGCCGACGGCGCAAGGCGGTTAGCCGCAGCAGCGCGTTCCCAAGGCCAGCTCTGACGGAAGAACTGCCCCGCGGAAGGCCGAGAGTCGGAATGACAGCTCCCGCCCGCTTCTCCGTGTTAGGGAGACCCGGAAGCGGCGCCGGAAGGGGCGTGCCCGGAAGGGCGTGCCCGGAAGGGGGCGTGGCGGGCCTGCCCTGGCATGGCGGCGGCCGCGGGCGTCGGGGAGGCCGAGCAGGGTCAGCCAGCGCCTCCGCCGCCGCAGCCGCAGCCGCCGGACATGGCCGAGGCCGGGGACGCGACGGAGGCCCCCGTGGACGACGGCTTTCTGGACCTGGACTCTCCCACCTACGTCCTGTACAGGTAACGCCCACGGAGGGCCCGACTCCCGCGTTCGCCCCGCCGGCCGTCGTGATCACTCGGCCCCGTCCCGCTGGCTGCCCGCCGGCCGTCGGTGGTCACTCGGCTCCGGCCCCTGCTGACCCGCCGGCTCGGTGGTCACTCGGCCCCGTCCCGCTGCTGCCCGCCGGCCATCGGTGGTCACTCGGCCCCGTCCCGCTGCTGCCCGCCGGCCGTCGGTGGTCTCTCGGAGCCGGGCGAGTTACCGCTGCGTGGGGACCTGGGCAGGCGGGCAGGCGGTGCGGGTTGTCGGTGATGCCTGGGGACTTGTGCGTGGCCGCGGGAGGCCGGGGGAGGGAGACAGTCGCTCTAGGGACTCGCTGTGGCCCGTGTGGCCCGCGGTCGCCCGGCTGGAAAGGGAGCGGCAGGGTGCCATCTCTGTGCAGGGGTGGAGTGGTTTCGTTCCTTAATCTGACCTATGTTCCCATCCCCGTCGTTGCACCTATACTAGATGAGTCATGTGTCATAGGCAGTGGGGAGTGCTACTCTTAACTTTCCCGCCTCTTGTCCCCAGTTTTGGTCAGCATAGTCCTCTCCCGACCAAATTTTTGCTCTCTGCCTCTAAAGCTTTTCCCTAGCCCATTTGAACCTGCAGAAGATTGAGAAGTCTGTCTGTCTGGTTTTATTTGGCTCTTGTTTTTCCCAGTTCTTTAGATTTGTTTGATTTTATGAATGAAGGGAAAGTTACTCCAGATTTTGTTAATGGAATGTACTGACTTACATTGGTTCCAGTGGTGCTTTATTCCTCAGCCACCTCCAAATTATTAATCCATTCTTCAGTGTCCCAGTCTTCCCCTCCTCGGGCCCTTCCCCAGCTCTTGTTCCCATTCCTCAGATGCTTCTCTAGTTCCTCTTTTGTAGGAAACACTGTTTCAGGGTTGTCAGGATGCCCTGTCAGAAGCAGATCAATAGAGAGAACTAAGATGTGAGTGAGCAGAATATAATAAAGTACCAGTGTGCTTTAAACGAATTGGGTCACACTGGCAGATTGCATCAAGATATCTTTTTTGGCACCCATCGTCACTGCAATGTTATTTGAATATTGATAATATCAAGTATGGCAGAGTCTCCTGCCCCCGTGCCTGGCTGTCCTCGCCAGGGCCCCTTGGAGGGGAGCGGGTTGAGTTTCCCTCCCCACCCCGACCAGGGCTCCGGCAGCCAAAGACCTCCAGAACCAGCCACCACCATGCTGAGACCACTCTCCACACACATGAAGGTACTGGCAGAGAAACAAAGGCATGCAGGTCCCGGGGCTAAGATCTCCAATCCTGCTTGGATCGGGGCTGAGCATCCTCCACCCAGATCCTCAATATTCCAGTAGGCAGGGGTCACACCCACCAACTGGCCCCCTGGGGCTGTGTAATCCCATCAACAGTCAAGACCCAGAGACTATAAAACCCAGCTCCTGGAAAAGAACAGTGCAGTCTCCTGCCCCTGCACCTGGCTGTCCTCACCGGGGCCCCTTGGAGGGAGCAGGGGCGGGAGCATTTGCTTGACATCTTATTATCTCATTCCTACTTTAGAGAAACCGGCAGGCTACCGAATGTAACCTGCCCACAGGGCAGAGTCTGGCAAACACCCTGTGGCGTACCCAATATGCCAAATACCAGTAACAATGATGGGTCTCATTCTCCTAACTCTGAAAGAGCCTTGAATATGGCACTTTTTAAAAAATCTCAGGGCTAGGACGAAGGAGACGTTACTGGGGCCTGCTCGAGGCAATCGACGAATAACAGGATGGTCGTGATCGTGAATATCAAGTATTACTGATTGAGTGCTTCCTCTTACATTTGTTATGTACTGTGTGTTTGTGTGTGTGTATGCATGCACACACATACATATTTAAACATAAGGTTGGAGAAATGGTACACCAGCCAAGGTACTTGCATGGCCATCCTGGGTTTGGTCCCTGGCACTGCAGATCTAACACCACCAGGAATGACCCCTGAACACAGAGCTGGAAGTAAGAGCTGAGCACCACCAGGTGTGGCCCTCAACAGAACAAAAAAATTATAATTGGGTATTAGTATATTTATATGCATATATGCTAATGTATATTCACTGTATATGTGTGTGTTTGTGTGCATTTTAAGTGCTTGGTTTTAAGTGATTTGTTTGGTTTTATTATCATTTTTCTTTTACAAATGAAAAAACAGGTTTAGAGAAGAAAAGTAGCTTTGTCAAGGCCTCCCATCTAGTTAGAGATAAATCAGGTATTCCAACTCAAAGAGTTAAGATTTCATAGCCTGTTCATTGATGATCACCTTTGTAACTTCTTAATGTGTTTACTTTGATTTTAAAGTGCCAGTTTATAGTTTATTCAAGTGTTTAAATGTTGATTAACTTCAGTTAGTTAATAATGATGTTACTATTAATTTTCTTAGTAAACCAGTGAATTGCATTTATTTCTGATGTAAAATTATTCATCTACTATAAAAAATTTTCACTTATATAAACACTTTAGAAAGATGCTGATTTATTAATTTATTTTAATCTGATAAAAGTATTTTTATTTTACTGTAAACGTTTAACACGTAAAATGGTGGTAATACTGCTTGGTCTTAGTATCCAGCTTTGATTACTTGAAGATAGTTGCAAATTGCTAATACCATACTAATGTAAACGTATTTGTTGCAATCTTTAAAAACAACATTTTTTTTAAGTATTTGAACATAATCATTGAAAAATACATGTATTTCAGAGACAGAGCAGAATGGGCTGATATAGATCCCGTGCCGCAGAACGATGGCCCTAATCCAGTGGTCCAGATCATTTATAGTGAAAAATGTAAGTTACTTTTTAGAGGTAAAGTTCTATTAAGTTCAATTTTGTAGCCAAGTTAAAATTCACAACTGTGTGTCAAGGGTGGTATTGTACTTTGGAATAATAAATATCTAATTAACTTAGGAAAAGCTACTCTTGGGACCAGCAATGTCTCTCAGTGGGATGTGCATGCTTCAAATGTTTATACATGGCCTTAGGTTGGATTCCTGACATCCTTTCCCATCTTCTAAAAAAGATAAACCAACATTTGTGGGGTTTGATTTTTTTTTTTTCTTTTGGTGGGATTCCCTCCAGGTGGTGCCAGGGGACTGTATGGTGTCAGGGATCTAACCCAGGACTCCTGCACACAAAGTATGCACTCCAGCCTGTTGTGCTGTTTCTCTTGCTGTCATAGTTTAGCTTTGATTGTTTTATGTTATCCAAAGAATGAACATTTTCTAAGTATGCATACGGAATATTACATTATACTGTCTGCTACCCTGTGGTTATGTTTTTTATATTTAATCTGCATGTAAGATGCAACAAAAATAAGTTACTGTTTTATTTAGAATAAACTAGTTGCTGAAGCATGGATATTTGAAATGTAGTGTTAGGCTCAGTCAGAATACATTTACTGTTAGTAAAATGAGTGGATTCTTTTCTTTGACAAAGTATTCTTTCATAGTGAATGTGAAAATGCTTTGTAAATTGAAGGTCATGCAGATGTTAATTGTTGTAGGAAAGGGTAAATAAATAAAAGGGAATACTATCTTTTGTAGGATTTTTTTGTATATATATTTTTTTTTTTTTTTTCAGTTAAAACTGTTACCCAAGATCGGGCCTCTTTGATAATTGTTTTTAGGGACCCGAGGATAGCTCTGTGGTAGAGTATCAGCATTCAGACATGCCACATTTCTGTCCCAGCACCATCCCACGTGCAAGTAGCCCTGGTGGCACTGTTGTTCGGTATTCCTGGTCCCGAGCAGCTGGGTGGTCTTAGATCCACTGTAGCCAAGAGTGTGTGATTCCCATGCAACAGAAAGAGAAGGGAAGGGAGAGAGGGCAGAGGAAGGCATTCTTTTTCTCTTTTTCCTTCCAGATTTTGAAATAATACCAAGAAATGTTTGGAGAGGGGCTGGTAGGTAGGGCATTTGTCCTGCACACGGCCTGCTCGGAGTCAATCCTGGAACCCCATATGGTCCCCATACCCTGCCAGTAATGATCCCTGAGTGCAGAGCCAGCTGTACCCTGAGCACTGCCCGTGTGGCCTAAAAACAAAAGAAATATTTGGAAAGGAAGTAGAATGGAATTGGTGTGCCTTGTCAAATATGAAAATGTAGTGATAAAATCATATAGAGCTGGTACAGAAATAAATTGATGAATAGTTGAAAATTGGTCATGAAATATGTGATAAGAAGCATTTGGTATTTATGTGAAAAAATGTATTAATCAAGTGGTTTTGTAATAAGTTGGCTATGTGTTTGGATATAAGAAAATTTATATCTCTTTCATATATAAAAAGAATGAAAAGAAATTACATATAATTCTGAGAACACTGTAGCACTGTCCTCCCTTTGTTCATCTAGTTTCTTGAGCAGGCACCAGTAACGTCTCCATTGTAAGACTTGTTGTTACTGTTTTTGGCATATCGAATACACCACAGGAAGCTTGCCAGGCTCTGCCATGAGGGCAGGATACTCTTCATAGCTTGTCGGGCTCTCCGAGAGGGACAGAGGAATCAAACCTGGGTCGGCAGCATGCAAGGCAAACGCCCTAGGCACTTTTGCATCCAGCTGCAATAATGGTTTAAATTCCTGCCTTGCATATGGTCCCCTATGCTAGGTATGGCTCAGTTGATTAAGAAAAACAAAAATAAAACGAATTATATTGAATAAAAGTGCTGGACTCTGCTCTGGCCCAGCACTGTAGCACTGTCCTCTGTTGTTCATCGTTTTGCTTGAGCGGGCACCAGTAACGTCTCCATTGTGAGACTTGTTACTGTGTTTGGCATATCAAATACACCACGGGGAGCTTGCCAGGCTTTGCCGTGTGGTTGAGATACTCTCGGTAGCTTGCTGGTATGCTCTCAGCAGTCTCTGACAGAGCAGGGACTTGTCGCCTCCCTAGTGTAAGTGGCCAAGGGCCTCCCAAGCTCTGCTTTGGAGACCATCCACTGCCCAGCACCTTTATAAGGAATTCCTGGAAAAGATTAAGGGAACAAGAATGGACAGTTTAAGGAAGAGAAAATTCCATTGGCAGTTTAATTACTAAATAAGATCCATTATTCTGAATGAAAAAATGATTAAAATGTACAGACTGTTTTGCACCCATGAACCATGAATCAGGAATAAATTCCTTTTTTAAAATTTTATTTTATTTTTATAAAATAGTTCACAATATTTGATTACATTTAATATGCAAACACCAGTCCCACCACGATTACACCTTCCCACCAGCATAGTTTGGATGTTTCTATCCCAAACCCCAGCCCTTGCCCCAAGCAGAACCAAAATAATTTATTATCTATTATGAATAAATTTGCTGAAAATGCTCCAAAAAACTTTCCTTAAAGGAAAGTGTGAAGATGGTTGTATTTCACCCAGGGGCCATTTAATCCCTTCTATATGAGATTACTAATATGTTAAGGATTGAGCCTTGTGTGCTTATACATTTTTACAGATATATATTGTTACATATATCTGTAAAAATATATTTCTCTTTAAACTTGGTTGCCTTCTACTTTAAACCCCATCAACTGTGGTGCGCTGCTCTTGGAATATGAGTGGTGTGAGGCATGGGATAGATTTACTCATGGGTGAGACTTGGCCCAAGCGTGTGGAGAGTGGCCATGAGCATGACAGTAGTTGAGTTCTGGAGGTTTTTGGATGCTGGGTATGGGTCCCTTGGGACCAGGAGGGGTTTCACCCGCCCCCCCTCCAGGGAGCCCTGAATGAAACAGCCTGGCGTGGGGTCTGGTGGCATGGCTATGGCATGTGTCATTTTATGGCTTTCTTTCAAGAGAGAAGGACAATGAGTCTAGGACATAAAAAGCCCTTTTGTAAAATGGGCTCAGAACTCTGCCTAACACCATGTACAAAAGTAAGATCAAAATGGATTAAAGACCTCAACATCAGACCAGAAACCATAAGGTACATTGAAGACAAAGTTGGCAAAACCCTCCATGACATTGAAGCTAATGGTATCTTCAAAGATGCCACGCCACTGACTGAGCAAGTGAAAACAGAGATAGATAAATGGGACTATCTTAAACTAAGAAGCTTCTGCACCTCCAAAGAAACAGTGACCAAAATACAAAGACAGTCTACAGAATGGGAAAGGATATTCACCGAATACACATCTGACAAGGGGTTGATATCCAGGATATACAAAATACTGGTTAAACTCCACAAGAAGAAAACATCCAACCCCATCCAAAAATGGGGCAATGAAATGAACAGAAACTTTCTCAAAGAAGAAATCCAAATGGCAAAAAAGCACATGAGAAAATGCTCTACATCATTAATCATCAGGGAGATGCAGATCAAAACCACAATGAGATACCATCTCACACCTCAGAGACTGGCCCACATCCAAAAGAACAAAAGCAACCGATGCTGGCGCGGATGTGGCGAGAAAGGGACACTCCTTCGCTGTTGGTGGGAATGTCGACTGGTTCAGCCCTTTTGGAAAACAGTATGGACGATTCTCAAAAAATTAGAAATTGATCTCCCATTTGACCCAGCAATACCACTCCTGGGAGTATATCCCAGAGAGGCAAAAATGTATAGTCGAAGTGACATCTGCACTTGTTTGTTCATTGCAGCACTCTTTACAATAGCCAGAAACTGGAAGAAACCTGAATGCCCAAGAACAGATGACTGGTTAAAGAAACTTTGGTATATCTACACAATGGAGTACTATGTAGCTGTTAGAAAAGATGAAGTCATGAAATTTACATACAAGTGGTACAACATGGAAAGTATCATGCTAAGCGAAATGAGTCAGAAAGAGAGGGATAGACATAGAAAGATTGCATTCACCTGGGGGATATAAAGTAACAAAATATGAGATTAATACCCAAGAATAGCTGAGATCAGCACCAGGAGGATTACTCCATAGCTTAGTGGCCAGTCGGGCATTCTAGAGGAAAGGGCAGCTCAGATAGAGAAGGGAACACCAAATAAAGGGTGTTTGGAGGATCCTCCCAGGAGGGGAGATGCATGTCGAAAGTAGACTATGGACTGAACATGTTTGCCACTCAATGCCTCTTTTGCAGGCCACAACACCCAAAAGGGGAGAGAGAACACAGGGGATTGCCCTGCCACAGAGGCAGGGGGCGGTGGGGGGATGAGGATGGGGGTGATATTATCCATGGTGGTGGAAAATGGGCACTGGTGGAGGGACAGGTATCTGATCATTGTATAATCAAACCCAAGCACAAAAAATTGTAAATCTACAACTGTACCTCATGGTGTTTCACTAATAGAAAAAAAAAATTAAAAATAAAAAAAAAAGCCCTTTTGTTTGTGAAACACGTAGGCACGTGTATTTCAGAAGGTAAATTTTGTGTATGCCCAGTTACATTTTTATGAGGAAAATGAGTGCAGCTTTGGTGCCCACCCAGGAACATAAGATGTAAAGATGAAGGGGGTGGGGGTCTTGATATAACATGTTTGGTGGCTGAGAGCTGCCTCCAAACCAGAGGAACAAAGAGAGGGGGGACCCATGGAGTGATGGTTAAAATGGCCTGTTTATTTCAGAGCTGAATAGCATACTCACAGGGGAGGTCCAAGGTATAGGACTGCACGTAGGGGTGATTGATCATTTACAGAGCTAAAGTATTTCAAAGGAGGCCATTCTCTTGGGATTAACTCAAGGAGACACTTTCGAAGACTATACTGAGAAGCTGGCTCAGGGTGCGACGAGCATTTATATTGCTTCTCTGTTTCCCTTGCTGCTAGTACATATTAAACAGTTTACTTCTTACTAATATTTGCCATTATTTGGATAAACACAGTGAGAAA